GTGGGGGGGCGTGGCCGGAGGTGGGCCGCCGGCTGCCCTCCCCCGCCACCCGCGTCCCCGGGAGCCCTGCTGCGGCACCCACTCCCGCCAGGCACTGTCCCTCCGAGCCCCCTCGCCTCCCGCCCCCCTCTTGCCAATCAAGTGGGTTTTTTTTAATTGTTTTATCGAAATATGCATCATCAAGTAATATATTGCAATGGACAGTAAAACCTTTTCTAGAAAGCACCCGCTTGTCCCTGGTTCACATCACTGCAGGGGCCAGACCCCAACAGCCGTGGGGCACAGCCCCCTCCAGGACAGCAAACAGCCCCGGTGCCATGGGATGGGGCAGGCATGTTCCCCACCAGCCCCATCGCCCCGTCCCACGTGCCGTGGCCTGTCCCGTCGTGGGCCAGCATGAACCCCGCGACCAGCTCTGCAGGTCCCCCAGGAGGAGGGGGACAGCGGGTGGGGACCCCAGCCCTGCATGTGCAAGGCAGTGCCTGGGAGCGGCACCCTTGACCATGGCACATGTCGTGGCTTCGCCACTGCGCTGGGCAACCCCGGCGAGGCCCATTGCGGGGAGGAAGGGGGGTTTGGAGGGACACTGGGGCACGTCCCTCCCCCTGCACATCCCTGTCCCACAGCACATGTCCAGGCTGTTTTGGGCAGCGAGCCTGGCATGGCGGCCCAATGCAATGAGCCATGCCTGGCCCTCCAGTTCCCACCTTGTCCCCACTGCGGTGCCCTCGTTACGCAGGGGACACCCCTGTGACATCTGCAGGGAGCTGGGTGGCACCAGGGCTGCCAGCAGCACCCTGGCTGTCACTCAGCCCCAGTAAACGCTGCTTGGGGGTGGCGCAGCTCCATCCTCCTCCTCCAGCTCAGGGGGGGCCATACTCACCCCTCCTGCTCACCTGGGGCTCCCAGCACCCTCGGTCCCTCTCCCAGCACCAAAGCGCTGGGCTGATGGTGGCTTTGGCCTTTGCTTTGCTGCTGGCCTGGCCCAGCACCTTCCTGCCTGCAGGGAGGGACAGAGCAACACCCCAGCGGGAAGGTGCTGCTGGGCCCCGTTGGGCCCACAGTGGTGACAGCTTCTCCTCCTCCCGTCCTGCCTGGGAACAGGCCTGGCCAGATCGTGGCTGGCTGTCACCGTGGGCCTTCGCCCCCTCTCACCACACCTCCTGCAGCATCAACCTTCGGCACCAGCGCCAACACCTCTGCCCCAATCCACCGTGGCCACCGGCGATGTTTGCTGGCGAAGCAGCCCAGGCACAAGGTCCAGTAGGGTGTACCTGAGGGCAGTGCTTTTCCAGCCCGTTCGCCCGAGCTGGATACGGGTGCTCAGGGGGAGCAAGGGCACCGGCGCGGTGCCAGACCCTTCATGGCACAAGGGCTCTCCCACGGCCCTCGGATTAAACCCCGTGGGAAGCGAGAGCAGAAGGTGCCGGGTGCCCTGGCCTGGCTCCCGCGCGGCGATGCTGGGCGCCCTGGTCTGGGTGCAGGCACAAGGGGACACCCCGGCCGGCAGCAGAGCCGGTCACCTCCCCAGGGAAGCAGGGGGGGGGCTGCGTCCCAGCCCTGCTGGGGGCAGGCAGGGAGAGCAGCAAGGGCTGAGGCCGGCAGCCCTGGGGCTCCCGAGTGGGGCGACACGGCACACAGCCGGGGCCCAGACAGGCAAGAGAGCAAAGCAGACAGCAGGGCTGGTTATTCCAGACTTGTTTAGGGCAGGGAGGTGCACGGGAGCTGGTGCCCGCGGTCCCCAGCTGCTCTCAGCGCCACTGTCATCCAGCCGGCTCAGCCTGGCTGCGGCATTTGCCCCGAGGGCAGCCCCAGGGGAGCGTGGGGTGATTTTCCGGCTGGCATCTCACCTCCTCCAGCCCTCGAGTACTAAAAGCTTCCCCGGCCCTTGGCAGCAGCGTTGGCCCCGACATCCCAGGGCACCGCAGAGCACCGGGTGCCACGGGCAGGGCTGGACCACTCTGCAACATCCCCACCCCGCAAAATCCTGCCCGGGATGGAGTAGCTCCGTGCAACAAGGCACCTGCTTGGGGCAACCGTGCGCAGCATCCCTACCCCGCGCAGCGAAAGGAGACGGGGCAACAGGCACAAGCTGCAACGAGGGAAGTTTTGATGGGACCTCAGGGGAAAGAGCGTTCCCCCTGAGGGTGGCACAGCCCAGGGACAGAGCCCCAGCGAGGTGGTGGTGGTGGCAACCCCATCCTTGGAGATTTTCCTAACTCAGCTGGACAAGGCCCCAAGCTGTGGAGCTGGCCCTGCGCTGAGCAGGAGACGGACCAAGCCCTCCAGCGATCCCCTCTAGCTTAAATCCTTCACGCTTCACGCAGCAGGATCCCTGCAAAGGTCTGCACAGGTCCCTGTGCGGCATCTGAAGGGAAGGAGGCAGCGAGCTCACCTCCACGATGGCATCTGCCCAGCCTCAGCCTGCTGGCCTGCGGACTGATATCTGGCAGGACTTCACACATTCTCCACTCCGAGTCCACCACCACGTCCCAGCAGCCCAGCGCCGGGAAACCTAACCCGGCCACTTCAGGCTTCTGCAGAAAGTGGGACCAGGACCCACGGCTCTCCCCCTGCCTGCACTACGTCAACACTGCTGGTTTCTGCTGCCCACCACCACTCCTCAGGCCCTGCTCAGCCCACCGGGAGCTGCACACCCACTGAAAGAGAGAAACGATGCTTTATTGGAGCACGGCCTGCCCCACAGACAACAAAGGCTTCTCCAGATATCCTGCCAGATCCTCCTGCAGCCAGCCCAGCTCTTCCCTGGGCAGGAAGGACTGAAGCTCTGCGCCTCTTTGTTGTCCCCAAGCTGTCCCCGAGCCGCTGAGCCCAGCCAGCAGGTCGGAGGGCGCAGAGGCACCGCCTGCGTGAGCAGGATGCGTCAGTGCTCAGGACCGGGGCACGCATGGCAGAAGTACAGCACAAGGTTTTTGTGCAGACAAGTCTGCAGGTGCCCAGAATGAGCCATGACCATGGCCCAGCTCAGGAGAAAGAGGGGGACAAGGAACATCACAGGCAGCAGCACGGGAGACCTCCTACCAGTTTCTAGAAGTGGGAAAAAATAGGAAAATAAGAGGTGATGCCACGGATCTAGAGCAGAGAGCTGATTTCTGAGAAGTCAAGCAGCACAGAGACAACTGTTCTCCAGACCACAGAACGGAGAGTATATTAGGGCATCTCCTTCCCTTTTCTGTGGACAAGACACAGCACTGGAGGGTGAGTGAGAGATGCTGGCTGCACGTTGGACACTGTATCAGCACCTGTGTGGGCCCAGGGACCTGAACTTGCCGTCCTCTCCTTCCCTCCAAAAGTGATGATCGTCCCTTCCCAACGATGAAGGATGTTCACGCAGAGCAGCACAACACGCCCAGCCCCACCGGCTCAGGAGTCCAGCTTGATGAAGACCTTGGGCCTCGAGAAAATTTTGATGGCCTCTTCTATCTGGGAGAGCTTCCTCTCCAGCTCTACCCGCCTCTTCTGCATGCTGAGGGTGTCTGCGCGCACTGGCAGCATCACCAGGTCCTTTATCAGCTGCTCCTGGCCTGTCTTGGGCCTCGAGAAAATTTTGATGGCCTCTTCTATCTGGGAGAGCTTCCTCTCCAGCTCTACCCGCCTCTTCTGCATGCTGAGGGTGTCTGCGCGCACTGGCAGCATCACCAGGTCCTTTATCAGCTGCTCCTGGCCTGTAAAAAAAAAACCAAAACAAACCAAAACCCAAGTTGTGTAAGTGGAAGAGCAAAGAAATCCATCGTTTTCCTAATGCTATGACCTCATCCTCAGTCATGAAAATGGTGGCAGCACTGGAACAAGGACTTAGAATACCCATCCTTCTATTTAAAGCTCAGCTGGATGAGGATCTGAGTGAGCTGCTCCAGCTTTGAAGAACCAAGGGTTGGACTAGAGACCTCTGAAGGTCCCTTCCAACCAAAATCTTTCTATCATTTTAAGAGCAATAGCAGCCCCAACATCAGGTCCACTGGACAAGCCTGCTCCAGAGAGCCAGGCCCGTAACCTGCAGGTCCCACCCATCTGAAGGAGATTGTCCTTTCCACGCACACAGCTCACATCCCAGCTACATGCCTTATTCCAGGCAACTCTCCAAGCGGCAGGAATCTGTGCCCCAGAACTCTCTTCTCCCTCATCCTGGCTAGGATTGCGTTTTTCTGAGCTGGAACCCCTGTTTCTTTTCCTCTTACTCTGCTTCAGATTGCTGAGGGTCTCCAGCCGCTGGCCCTCCGGCATCATGGTATGACCAGGTGGCGTGTCAGGATCCGGCAGGTTTCGCAGCCGCTCCTCCATCTGTCTGCGCCACAGCTCCTTCCTCTCCAGCAGGCTGGCAAGGCAAACGAAGGCTCGTGTCGGCACATCTGGCAGGAGGGGTCGCCCAGGGATGCAGGCAGAGGCCAGGAATCGAGCCCTTCAAACCCCGCTAGTCTCCATGTCACTGCCTGAGGACCACAGAGACCCACCCTGCCGGCACACGCCCTTGCTGTGGAGGGATACACCCGGGTTTAGCCCGCATGCAAGGACTAGCAAACACGCTCCATATGCACTGAAGGGCTGCTGGAAGAGACACACTGAGGCCGACACGAGCTCCTCGGAGACAAGGGCTTCTGCTCCTTGCTTCTGACCCAGGCCACTGAGTCCTCTCAAAACCGTCTGTGGGCCAGTGACGGAATGAAGTTGGACAAAGCGGCTCACAGCCAGGGATGCTGGCAGAGAACAGCAGGCACAGCAGAGAGCCGAAGGACTGACACCGTGGTCAGTCCTAGGACAGGGTCACCCAGGAACCGTTTTCCACTCGGAACCCCAAAATGCAAGTGACTAGTTGGATGTTCCTCAGACTCCGAGTCCAAGGCAGGATGAACGCTTCTGGGGCAGAGCAAGCTATCTGCCT